TTACAGTATCATCTATAAGCAATGTATTTATTGTCAGCGAAGAGTTAACAACATACAGGTATATGATCACCGTAATTGAAGAGTGTGAGTTCTAAATGGTCAAGTGCCAAAAAACTATCTGAGAAAGGAGTAAACGATATTTTAGCTCTAAATATATTTTTTTAAGAAACAATTTTTAAAAACAGAAAATCGTAAAAAGATCTAAGTGCCTCATTATGCAATTCTGAAAAGGGTATATGTTATTAGGCTTTTTTGGAGGTTTTATATCACCTCGATAAGTTTTGAACTCTAAGACGTTTTTGTTTCTTTTTCACACTTTCTGAAACTGTTGCCCTGCTTTTTCGTTCAATTTTCAGGGGGCAAATTTGATAAAAAATACTTTTTTAAGAGACCAGTGGTGGATTTAAGGAAAGGGCCCGGTGGTATGATCGGTGACAGACGGCAACACTATAATTGTTTTGCGAATAACATAAATTATTGCAATTATTGACAAATAAAATACGGCAATGGAAACTTTAAAATTTACATGATAACTCAGAAATTAATACCAAAATTTAATGCGTAATGTCGTGCTAGTGCAAACGTATACTTTATCTGAAGTCACTTGAAACACTGTGAAATACCGGGTGCGTTTTATATATCTATATTTAACACGCTCTGTTGCTGCAAAAATCGCCAAATTTCGCAGCAAATATCCCCGTATAAGATCAAAGGCAGTTTCACCGATCCACGTGGAGTAAAGCACGCCTATGCGTGGACATAGCCAATGAGAAAGCGTGTATTTCAGAGCTCCGAGCAAGTGCAGGTGGCTACTGAAAATTGAAACAGTTTAGCCAGTGCCGTGTAGCGGTGAATAAACGTGTTTTCTTTAGTCTGTCCGTGTTTTTTCATAGATTTTATTAGTTTGTGTGTTTTTGACTTTTGAATACTCAGTTTACTTGTTGATTTAATTGTTGTGTTGATTGTTCTTGTGTGTCCTAAATATGGCTCTTTGGAGCCCTTGGGAAAATGCTCCAAGCCACGAGGAGATGGTTGATGAACCTGTGCAGGCAGAATTCTTTCATAAAGATTTAGAGGAACAGACCCAAAGAGTAATCCTAAATATGATTGTCTGAAAAACGAAAATCCAGATTCCTCGCAAAATCAAATTTTAAACAGAATTTGTATCCTGACAAAAATCAGTCGGTCTACCATTTATCGGGTTATAAAAAGGGGAGATGTAGTCAACCATTCCTTCCACAGAAAGCGCATAGGGCAAAAATTAAAAAGAATATACGTGGGTTTTCAGGAAGATATTCGTCGTATAATATACGGATTTTATAAAGAAAATTTGGTGCCCACGTTGGAAATGATACGGGATAAATTAAAAGATTATCCTGAAGATTTGTATAATTACAAATGCTTAGACTCACTGCACTGTATTGTAAAACTGTGTGGTTTTCAATACAAAAAATTAGATAAAAGAATGGTGATTATGGAGTCGTCTCGAATCGTTGAATTGCGCCAAGAATTTTTGCACAAAGTTAAAATCTATAGAGAGCAGAAAAGAAATCTGATTTACCTGGATGAAACGTGGTATGATACCCATGATGTTGTGCAGTACGGCTGGGTTGACGACAGCAACAAGTGCATTTTAAATGCACCATGCAACCGTGGAAAACGAATCATTATTCTCCATGCTGGCAGTGAAAATGGATTTATACCTAATGCCTTGCTGTTATCTGCCAAAAATATCAAAGAATCATGTGCCGACTATCATGAGGACATGACCTCCGACTTATTTGAAAAGTGGATAGAGCAGCAGTTAATACCAAACATTTCCCCAAATTCAGTGATTATTATGGACAATGCGCCATACCATTCCCGACAGAAAAACAAAATTCCGAATACAGGCACAAAAAAACAAGACATTATTGATTTTATGAAGGATAAGGGAATGGAAATACCACAAAAATCAACCAAAGCCATATTATTGGATCTTATTAAAAGACAAAAATTTGAAAAAGAGTATGTTGTTGACAATCTGCTTCAGCAAAATGGCCATGAAGTATTACGTCTACCTCCCTATTACTGCATTTTTAACCCGATTGAGTTGGTCTGGGCTGCTTTAAAAAAAAAAAGTAAGAAAACATAATCAGACCCTTCAATTAAGTGAATCGCTATTGGCCACAGTATGCAGTATCTCATATTGCTGCCACAGACCTATGGAAGCAGTGTTCTAGGCATATTATTGAAAAATAAAATGAATATTGTGTTTTGCCTCCTGTAAATCCCGTTGTAATTCCTCTACAAGATGACTCTAGCGACAGCTCCGAAGGCGAGGATGATATATAAATACCTATAATGTAAGTCTTTATATACCTTTTTATATACCTACCTGCTATGTAAATATTTGCCTATGTCAAACGTTGGAATTCTGTAATTTTTCCATTTCTTAACTTTCAGTCAACATAAATTAAACTCCCAATATAAGTATTTTTTATACCAAATCAAAAAAATAAGAAGATAGTAAAATCCATTTATTGTGATATAAAAACATTATTATTATTATCGTTCTAAATAAATGACCGCACGCCTATGATACGTCATGAAATTACAAAGGACGCGCCGACCAAAGGTTTTTATGCTATTTCAAGTGAGTTCAGATAAAGTATACATCAGCCTGGTTTTTGCATTTAATAGTGTGCACGGGCACGGGACAGGTTGTAATGCGTATCACAATTTTTTGAAGTAAATTAAACTTGATGATTCACCAGCAAACTTCTTGTGCATAAAAGTTATCACGGATGCTACCGATAAGTAAAGGGCGTCGAGTCAAATTTGGAGTGCACGCTATTTATAGAATTTGCATAAAATTATAATTAAGAAAAAAACATGATAGATAGTTGTGGTCATGTTTACCGTGATTAATTTTTCATTGAATACAAATTTGTTGAACAACACTAAAATACGTTAAATAACGTGCATTACTACAGGATATATACTGAGCACAATTTGCGAAAGTGATATTCTCCACATTTATCGCTCTTTGCAAATTAATGACGGCAACTGAGAATAAAAAAATTAGAAAACCTGCACAAGTAACCGAAACAAGCTCATGAATAGTGCAAAAGGTTTTTTAATAGTAATTTGATGCAAAACGTTAATCTGATGCTGCTTCAACGTGCCATTTCAGCTAATTCAACTGTTTTAATATTCAAACGGATCTAAACTTTTTCGATAACGTAAAATCCATCTAAATTTTTCAGATAAAGTTCGAACTATAGATTTTGCTGGCAATAAGGATGTCACATATTAACAGGGGCTTACAATTATATGCACAATAGTAGCTGCTGCGCACTGTTACCTCTGTTTTCTGAATCGAGATCAAACATTTTTTATTCAATACAAAATAATTATTCTAATTTGAATCCGCGTCTTGCTTTTCGTTCAGCAAAAACTTCCATCGCAGAATCCAAATTGAGTGTATTAGCTACTGATCTTTCGATATAGAGATTAGAGAAGTTGTTGAGTGTGTCTTTAAGCAAAGAAGCTCGCCGGTATTCTTTAATAATTTTCAAAGAGCTCATGACACGTTCAGCACTAGCTGAACCGATAGGCAAAGTCAAAAATAATCTGAATAAACAACATCTCTCTGGAAAACTGTCTACAAAATTGTTTGCAATCATGAACTTCAAATAATCTAGCGGGCTGTCATTAGTAAAGTTACATTTTCCGAAAAATACATGTTCGTAAAACTGGCTAATTTATATTTTAGATCTGTAGTGAAAAATTCCTAATATTTTTCCATCAAAAACATAATTCACTTTACGATAGATATTTATTTACTGAACATTATATGCCATGTAATAATATATCGCTGTAAGCACAAAATAAAAAAATATCCCCTCCTCTCCTTGAGTAATAAAAGGGCCATTCGGTCATTTTTTTAAAAATAAAATAGTCATTTTGCAAAAAAAAATTTCAAGAAATGAAAGGGAAATTTTCTTATTAAAACTGAATGCTCACGCGCTGTTTCATAAACATTACGCAGAATAATAAAAGAATATAGCATACTCTGATTTCTTGTTATCAATTTTACATTCAGCGCTGGACAATATAGACACTAGAGCTGGTGTTTGCTGGGGGGCCCTGTGACCACCCTTCTTGGGGGACCCAGGCGGCAATGTCCATTTTGCCATTACTTAAATCCGCCACTGTGACGGACAAAACCACAAAATAATTGTAGCACTGGATTCAAAGTATTAGTATTAATCGATTCGCAGGAAGACAAAAAAGAAGAATTAATTTTGTTATTTAACAATAAATTGTTCATTTTTAAATTAGATCTAATATTTTAATCACTTTTAGTTTGTACCCTAAGGGTACAAGGGTAGGGTTGTAAACCTTCCCCCACTTCCCAAAACGAGGAGAACGTCATCCTGAACATGAAATTTTTTGACCAGTATGAGCCCTCCTCCTGGATCCGCCGTTGCTTCAGAGTACTTTTACTGCAGTAATCCTGAAGGATTTTATTACTTTTTGCTTCTACTAAAAAAGATAGGAAAAATAACGTGAATAGAATATAGCATACTCTGATTTCTTGTTATCAATGTTACATTCAGACGCGCTGAACAATATAGACACTAGAGCTGATTTTTGCTGGGGGGGGGGCCCTGTGACCACCCTTCTTGGGGGACCCAGGCGGCAATGTCCATTTGGCCATTACTTAAATCCGCCACTGTGACGGACAAAATCACAAAAAAGTTGCAGCACTGGATTCAAAGGAGACGGTAAGTATTGATATTAATCGATTCGCAGGAAGACAAAAATGAAGAATTAATTTTGTTATTTAACAATAAATTGTTCATTTTTAAATTAGATTTAATATTTTAATCACTTTTAGTTTGTACCCTAAGGGTACAAGGGTAGGGTTGTTAACCTTCCCCCCTTCCGAAAACTACTAAAACTACTAAAAAAGATAGGAAAAATAACGTAAACGGAAAAAATTAACAACTCACCAAAATTCTGCTTCCCTCTTTGACGGCACTGGTGTACTGGTAGTCATACTTGGCCTCGATGTAGTTGGGGGTGTATTTCACGTTAGCACTGTCCACGGTGATATCGACTTTCATCTTGGAGACTGTTTTTATTAACCTGCAGTGAGTCCGGAAAGTGTGATATGCACTGAACTGTTCGAGGCGACGCGCTGAGTCGGTAGCGGTTGACTATGGCTCTATAGAGCGAATTGCTCCGTATATATGGACAATCTGGATATCTGGCTGAGGGGGGACGGATTTTCTAGAGGCTAGCCAGACTATGGCGAATGCCGGTCCACGTGAATCGGCTGTGATTATGTTTCCAGAGTTGATTGGGGTCCACTCTGGAAATATTCGCGAAAAATGTTTTGATCAATACTTCTAGCAAATCTGATGGTTATCTGAAAAAATATTGACGCTTAACGTAGCCTAACCGACTATTCACCTGATGAGTTAAGACTGGCAAGAGACTACTTAATTTTTTGTAAGGTACTTTCAACAAAATGAATGGAAAACACAACAAAATAGACCTGCAAAAACAGTTTGTTCGTTTTTTAGTACATAATTCTTCCTATATTTTTTTGGATATCACTAAGAAGAAAGGGTATACTTAGTCCAGGAAGATATTTTCCTTAAAAAGTTTGGTACAAGAAATTTCCTGTTACATCTTACAATAATTTATACAGAGTGTCCCAGAGATAACGCGCCATAGTGACACGGAAGGTAGATTGGATTATCGATCAAATAAAATCAACATGACCTTAGTAAAAGTTTTCTAGTTTTCAAGATACTGAGACCTTTAAGTTTTATCAAAGAATCTCTACTGTATCTCTAACTTATGATTTTTTTCCTGGCCTACCATTAATATACTAAGTGACATATAAATCCGAATACCCAGTTTAAATGGTTTTATTTTAATAAAATTTTGTATAAGTACTTAATGAAGCATAGTAAGTAAATGATAAAAATTTCAAAATGATTGCACTGCTTTAAAGCCCTTTGACCTTTAATAATGTGTGGATGCACCCTGATGTGCTACGCATTTTCCAACGCGCCTAGGCATGCTTCTGATCAGGTGGTCAATGTCCTCCTGTAGTATCTCATTCCAGGCAACCACCAACTCCTCTCGAAGTGCTTCTAGAGTCTGAGGAGGACGTTGCAAATTGAGCAATCTCCTACCCATCATATCCCACACGTGCTCAATTGGGGATAAGTCGGGAGATCTTGGTGGCCATGGTAACAATGTGACATCATTATGTTGAAAGAAGTCTATTGTGACTCTTGCAACATGTGGTCGGGCATTATCTTGTTGGAAAGTTGGATCTGCCATGGTGTCAAGATAGGGTAAAATATAGGGTTTTAGAACTTCGTGGATATAACGCTGCGCGTTCATGTTACCTCTGATGAAGATTAAAGGTGACCTGGAACCATAAGCTATAGCACCCCAAACCATAACTCCAACAGTGTGATGAACATGTCTTTCAACAAAAAAACTGTGGATTCCTCCTTTCACCACGTCGCCTTCTAACCCTGGCACGACCATCGTGCATGCCTAAACAAAATCGAGACCCGTCACTAAAGACAATACTGTTCCATTCCTGATCCCAGAGTGACCGTTGTGTGCACCACTCAAGGCGATTCGTCGGTGTTCTCGAGTTAAAGGGAGGACCCAGTGTGGCCGGTATGAAAACAAGCCAAAACTTCTCATTCGTCGGTAAACACTTCGCATGCCGATAGGTCTTCCGTGTTCTGCAAACCATTCATTTGCAATGGACCTGGTAGTGGGGAAACGGTCCCTTAAGGCCAATAATCTTAGGCGGCGATCTTCACGGTCTGTTGTTCTACGGCGGCGTCCAGTGCCCCTTGCTCTTTGCGTACGGCCTTCTCGAAGCCATGCCTGACAACACCTAACCACAGTGTCTACACTTCTTTGCACTCTAACTGCAATTGCCCGAAAAGAAAGTCCAGCTTGCCGAAGTCCCACTATACGGCCCCTATCAAACTCACTAAGTTGACGAAATCGTACAGGTCTCCGTACTCTAGGCATCGTAACCGATCGTAAAGGATGTCAAGAACCAAAATCCGCCAATGTTGATTCTTTACTGCGGCTGAAATATTCATTTTTAGAGCGTTAGTGAATTAAAAAAAAGCAGTATAAAAACCGGAATGTCCAGCTGATAAGGCTAAAAATTTTTTCACTTGTTATTTACAGTAAGATAAATACATTCACCAACTTTTATTAAAATAAAGCCATTTAAACTGGGTGTTCGGATTTATATGTCACTTAGTATAGTTGGTTGAGACAACAGAATATTCATTTCATTGAAAACTAACACCATATGCTAAAAAAACTAAATTATTACATTTGGTTTCGATACGAAAGCCTAAAGTTTGACTAATAACTGTGAAAAAAAAGGTACCAGGCTGTGAATCAGCAAATGACCTAGATATTCAATGTTCTTTCAAAAAAAGTATAACATTTGTAGGTTTCTTTTTACTAAAAATATTTTTAAAAGAGCATTAAATAGACTACTTTTTCAGATTATTTGCCGATTCAGTCTGATACATTTTTTTCACAGTAATTAGTCAAACATCAGTAAAGGTTTTCACATTGAAACAAAACGTAATCATTTTTTTTAGCATCTTGTGCTAGCTTTCAATGAACTATTAATGGTAGCTCAGGAATAAAAATCCTAAGTTAGAAGTTCTTTATAGCCATAACAGCCACAAAAGGAGTAAAAAGTAGGAATTTTTTGGAAAAACTTGAAGTAGTAATATCTCGAAAACTTTTACTGAGGTGCGTTGATTTTATCTGATTAATCTGAAGCCAAGCTATCTTCCGCGCCATTCTGGCGTGTTATTTGTGGGATTTTTACAAACTAAGAAAATGTCAAATGTCTATGTTTTATTTTTTCTAGATTCCGCTTTTAAGTTCGTTATTAGCATACATTTTGCACATTGATATTTGGTAAGTGTAGTTCTCGGAATATTGATTATCAATATCAAAAAACGGCAGTACAGTCACTAATTATGTTCCGGCCTCGTCTCGTAAATAGAACAGATGTAGTACCCCGTTTCCCGGCCAAACCCACGTGTGGACCCAGGATTCCGCTCCCACTAATTCTGAAGCTTAACCCGGTTGTCGCCTCTGGAAAGCTGTCATTCCGATTAGCATCTACAATCCATCACATGATTGTGGGCTTAAATTACGCTATAACCTTTGTAGGGAAGAAATACATGTCTGTTTTTCTATCTTGAAATTTCTCACCTGACAGTTTGATAAGAAATTAAGATATAATTGTTTGATTTGCTATAAGTTACCTATCAGTCTTTTAGCCAAAATGTTGCTAATGATGCAGGCATAAGATAGTTACTGAAGGGCGTTTACAGGTTGAGACCATCTCATTCGAAATATAGCCCCCCTTGAGATACCGTGGTTGTTATCAACCAACTAGAGGCCTAGAGGGGTTGCTGGTTGATGGTGACCTCTGTAAATATTCGGATTAGGAAATCAGCACCACTGCTAGCCCTAACCCTTTGTTTTCATTATGTAGGTTATTCTACAAGATGTTAACTTAGCACTTAGTTGTACGTGTTGCCTAAACGTCATGAGGCTTGTTATCAATCTTTGGCTCTGATGTGATGTAAAATCTGCTTCTGAGATGGTATTACTGGAGGTCTAAGCTGTAAGTTGTATGTGTGTATGTTCAAAAATGAGAGAGATAAGAAATAATTATATTCACTGTACACTGTCGAATTACAAGCCATATATACTAAGTGACATATAAATCCGAACACCCAGTTTAAATGGTTTTATTTTAATAAAAGTTGGTGAATGTATTTATCTTACTGTAAATAACAAGTGAAAAAATGTTCAGCCTTATCAGTTGGACATTCCGGTTTTTATACTGCTTTTTTTTAATTCACTAACGCTCTAAAAATGAATATTTCAGCCGCAGTAAAGAATCAACGTTGGCGGATTTTGGTTCTTGACATCCTTTACGATCGGTTACGATGCCTAGAGTACGAAGACCTGTACGATTTCGTCAACTTAGTGAGTTTGATAGGGGCCGTATAGTGGGACTTCGGGAAGCTGGACTTTCTTTTCGGGCAATTGCAGTTAGAGTGCAAAGAAGTGTAGACACTGTGGTTAGGTGTTGTCAGGCATGGCTTCGAGAAGGCCGTACGCAAAGAGCAAGGGGCACTGGACGCCGCCGTAGAACAACAGACCGTGAAGATCGCCGCCTAAGATTATTGGCCTTAAGGGACCGTTGCTCCACTACCAGGTCCATTGCAAATGAATGGTTTGCAGAACACGGAAGACCTATTGGCATGCGAAGTGTTTACCGACGAATGAGAAGTTTTGGCTTGTTTTCATACCGGCCACACTGGGTCATCCCTTTAACTCGAGAACACCGACGTAATCGCCTTGAGTGGTGCAGACAACGGTCACTCTGGGATCAGGAATGGAACAGTTTTGTCTTTAGTGACGAGTCTCGATTTTGTTTAGGCATGCACGATGGTCGTGCCAGGGTTAGAAGGCGACGTGGTGAAAGGAGGAATCCACAGTTTTTTGTTGAAAGACATGTTCATCACACTGTTGGAGTTATGGTTTGGGGTGCTATAGCTTATGGTTCCAGGTCACCTTTAATCTTCATCAGAGGTAACATGAACGCGCAGCGTTATATCCACGAAGTTCTAGAACCCCATCTTTTACCCTATCTTGACATCCTGGCAGATCCAGCTTTCCAACAAGATAATGCTCGACCACATGTTGCAAGAGTCACAATAGACTTCTTTCAACATAATGATGTCACATCGTTACCATGGCCACCAAGATCTCCCGACTTATCCCCAATTGAGCACGTGTGGGATATGCTGGGTAGGAGATTGCTCAATTTGCAACGTCCTCCTCAGACTCTAGAAGCACTTCGAGAGGAGTTGGTGGTTGCCTGGAATGAGATACCACAGGAGGACATTGACCACCTGATCAGAAGCATGCCTAGGCGCGTTGGAGAATGCGTAGCACATCAGGGTGCATCCACACATTATTAAAGGTCAAAGGGCTTTAAAGCAGTGCAATCATTTTGAAATTTTCATCATTTACTTATTATGCTTCATTAAGTACTTATACAAAGTTTTATTAAAATAAAACCATTTAAACTGGGTGTTCGGATTTATATGTCACTTAGTATACATGCTAACAGTAATTACACACAACGCGGGCGCGGTGATGATTTCCCGTAATTCTCCTCAGTTTTTCGTAATTTATAACTTTGAACATAACCTCTCTTCAGAACGCACAACATAAATAATCCGTCATATTCAGTAATGATTTTCTCACACAGCAAATATCACTGGTTTTATACACATGCAGACCAATACACATAATCATCCAGATGCGATCTTGCTATTCAACCAACTTTCTTCTCAGAGATAAAAACTACAGGCAAGGACCTGGCCTCACAAAACTATGCAACCAATAATGCGTGTAGCTTAGTTGAGTGATTCCTCCATAGATGGACGTTCACAACGATCCTAGTGAGCAAACGTGGAATGACTGTTTGCGCCCTAAAAACTACCTAGTCTGCA